CTTGGCCATGATTGGCGCAACACCCAGCCATCGTCGTATGTCTCCGTTTATGACGTGGTCGAATCACGTTGGAGGCTCCAATGAAGCATTCGCATTTCCATGGCGTGGAGAGCTTGCTCGTGCTTTGCTGTCACCGGCCAGCATTCGGATCCATACAGGGCGACTGAGCGGACCACGGTCTTGTAGATCTTTGACTTGAGGCGCAAAGGCATCCGGTGATCGCACATGACACCAGTTACCTGGTGCCATTTCATCCAGGTGGCGTTCTCAGTGCTCAAGAACAAGCTGTACTCGCCGAGCCAATTGTGCCACTACTGGGCTTCTTCTTTGAGTTCCGCACGTTGTTCATTGGCCAGGAAGACGTCATCGGCGAACAAGAGCGACCACGGGTGAGGCGACTGAAGGTCAGCGGTGACGGTTTCCATACAGAGAATGAACAAAAGGGGCGATAAAGCCAATCCTTGGTGCACTCCGACATTGATAGCAAATGGCGGCGTCGTTCCGGCCTCGCACCGGACCACACTGGTGACGCCTTGGTAAAGGAGTTGGATCCATCGGACGTAGGGCTCGGGGACGTTATGCGATCGTAGGGCGTGCCATATGCGCTCATGCGGGACGCGATCGAAAGCCTTCTCCAGGTCGAAGAACGCCATGTGGACAGGCTTGTTTTTCTCTCTATGTTTCTCTAGGAGTAGGCGAGCCGTGTGGATGGCGTCCGTTGTCCCGCAGACCTTGACGAAGCTGCATTGGTTCGGCGTGATGCTAACGATCTTCCGAAGTCTGATGTCGATGACCCGTTCGAATACTTTCATGCTGTGGCATAGAAGATGGATTGGACGGTAGTTTGAGCACTCCATCACATCGCTCTTGCACCTTATGCTGGTCATTCACGCCGCTGTCGCAGCGCCATCATCGATAATTCGACTGAAAAGGGCAGCCGAGGATCTCGGCTCCTTGGTGGCCAAGGATTTTCCACACTTCGGCAGGAATGTCGTCGGGGCCAGTGGCCTTTCCGTTCTTCATCTTCTTCAAGGCTTCTTCAACTTCTTTGATGGTTATCGGTGGTATGGGTCTGGGGGTCGGATCAGCGGTTTGGATCGGTGGGTGGTCGAATTCTTCATTGCTGATTTTGGCGAAGTAATTGCTCCAGTGTCGGAGGATGTCGGGCGTGTCTCGGATGATTCGGTGGTCTTCAACCTTGACGTTTTTGATTTGGCCGATGTCCTGGGTGGCTCGGTGGCGAGTGTTGGCCAACCGATAGATCTTCTTTTCCCCTTCTGGTGTGTCCAACTCCGCGTATAGCCGATCGTAATGGGCCCCACGGTTCGTTTTGCAGCTGATTTGAAGGTTTTGCACCGTTGGAGATCGCCGTCGGTGCGGGACTGAAACCACACTTTGAGTGCCTGCTTCTTCAAGAGTTTCAAATCTCGTTGTCGGATAAGCATGTAGTCAATTTGCGTTGCGCGGCCGCCACTGGCGCAGGTCATGAGGTGGCTCAGCCTCTTCCTGAAAAAGGTATTGACCACCACCATGCCGTGGGCTTCAGCACACTCCAAGATGCGGTCGCCATACCCGCTTCCGCCGTGAAATGCATCATATCTGCCCCTAGCTGATCCAACATGTCCATTTAGATCGCCACCAATCGCGATGTATTCGTCGGGGCCCACGGTCCGAAGGTGGGCATCTAAGCTCTCCCAGAAAATGTCCTTTGTGTTGTCAGGGCAGCCGGTCTGCGGGGCGTAGCCGGAGACGATTCGAAGAGTCATTGCACCCGATTCGATCTTGATGGCCATGAGCCGATCGGAAATTCGGTGGATTTCGGTGACATTGTCCCACTGCTTCTCACTGACCACGATCCCGATGCCATTTGGCTTGCTGCTGGTGCCGTTGTAATAAAGTTTGTATGCTTCGCCAATCTCCTTGGCCTTCGCTCCTTTCCATTTGGTTTCTTGAAACCACGCAATGTCGATGCGGCGGTTCTTTAAAACTTCGGCCAATTCTCGGCTTCTTCCGGTCATCATTCCAACGTTTAACGTCGCAATTCGTATTTCGGCTCTCTTCTTTAACCCACTTCATCCATCAGCGGGGAGCCCTCGCACATTTCTCATGTCGTTTGAGCGAGGACAACGCGCATCATCTACAGGGGACACCTTAGCAGTCAGATCCAAATTTTGACTAGGCGTAGCCATTGATGCGACCAAAAAATACTCCAACCGATGCTTCGCTCCACCTGTCGTTGGAGACTGTCACCGTTCGTCAACTTCCCTCGGGTCGTTGTCCAGCGGGCACCACGTGGAGGTGGTGATCGGCTTTTGCCCGCCATAATATAGTAATTTTATATAATTTATTTAATTTTATACAAATTTGAATTAATATAGTAATTTTATATAATAATTCAAATAGTGCTGAACTGAATAATTAAATTAAAACACACACACACACACACACACACACACACACACACACATATAGTTACGTCCCTTTTGTTCTATGTGTTTTCTTCTGTTTTGGGAGGTGTTTGTGTGTCTCTGTCCAGGAAGAAGACTGATTGGTTCCTGCAGTCTAATTGGTGCCACGCCCTGCCCGGTCTCCTGACTCCTAGCTGCCTATAAAAGCCTCCCTTGTCACTTCCGGCATCAGCCTTGTGCTCACTTGCTGTGTTTGCTCTGCTTGACCCTGCCAGTTAGTTACAGATGTGTTAGTAAGACTGAAAGTATCTCTGTGTGTTCATTTGGGTGTTTGCCTGAGAGATTGATTGTTGTTTGTTAGTTTGCTTAGCCCACTCATTCGTAATACAGACCACCGCATGTTCTTTGACCTTGATTCTGGATTGCCCCTGTTTGGATATGTTTGCTCACCTTTGTAAATAATTGTACATACGTTTCTGGGGAAGTAGGGAGACCGATGCCATTTTTGTTGGAACCTTTTTTTTTTATTGTTTTTGGATAGGGAGGTAGGGAAGTAATTGCATTTTCTTTTCTTTTGTTTTGTGAACGAGGGTAGATAGAGGTATAAGAATTAGGTTTTTGTTTGTTATCTTTGCCTTGTCAGCTCCCGAAGCTAAAATTCCCCCAGTTGTACTGTAAAACCATTGTGCTCATTAAAATACTGCTCCTTGTTTTTTTTAAAACACTCTTCCATGTCATACTCATGTTGTGCCCTTACCCTCTTATATATATATATATATATATATATATATATATATATATATAT